TAGAAACCTAAATATATGAAGATTAGTTTTTATCACAAACTAATAGTACGTTTACATACAAAACATTATTCGGGTAACCCAGATAATTGACCAATAACAATAAATTCTAATTCGGCAATCATAAATTAAACTTATTGTTATTGGACAATTGTCACGGTTCATTGCTTCAAACAATTTGCGTTGAAACGCTCTATAAGCCTAAAAAACCCCATGTGTAAAAGAAACGGCAGTTTTATTTGACTTTTTATACCCTCAGCCATATGGCTAGTTATACCTATAGACTAGAAGGGGTATATATCATATGATACGGCCAAAACGTGCCTCAGTTTTAGACCCTAGGTCTCTTTGGACCAAATCCGTTTCAGGACATTTGGAGTCGATCTAGCGATATGGAACAAAGAATATAAATACAAACGCGAAAGAGAACCAGTTGGACCGCCACATAACACTAGAGTACTCAATTGTCGTCCTTTCCCAGCGGGGTCGTTGTCATGTATTTGGTATCATCGAGGCGACAATCAGCTTGGAATGTCCCTATGAAACAAGGTATGTCATTGTTATCAGGAAGACCTTTAATGCTGGACCAGTTGAAGTGTTGCTAAAATCTTGTGCATTCAATTGTTAAATCCTTTCTCAGCGGCGTTGGTGGCGCGTATTTTGTATCATCGTTGTGTCAACCTAGACGGAACAGTAAATCTCATTCTAATCGAGAAAATCGCGATTTTAATAGTGGATCAAGATATAATAACCTCTATCAAAGTCAGCTCTTATGTGGCATCATGTTGCAGTAATCTGTGTGGAGCCTAAGGATCAAGGAGTTCCATTGCTTCCAGGAACATTTGGAACGTCACAAAAAAGTACTCAATGTCTTTATCTTTTTCAGCGGAGTAGTTGGTGCCTCATTAGGGTTGGAATCTCTCTTTGGAACATAGAATCTCATTACGAACGGGAAGATTTTTATGGCGAATCAAAATATAAGCAGTTGGAGTATCACTAAAAGTTTTTCAAAGTTTTTTTCTATGGTTAAAATCGTTCTATGGAATCTAGTTTCGTTGTGTCAATCTGGACGAAATCCCTCTATGGAACTGAAAATCTAATTTTAAGCGGAAAGATTTTTAATTGTGGATCATGATATTATAAATTGTTGGAGGGCCACTAAAATCTTTCTCAGCGGGGTCGGTACCATCGTTGCACCAGGAAGATTGCTTCCGGGAAGATTTTTAATAGTCGAATAGTACCATCGTTGCGTCAATCAATTTGAGTCTAGGGATCAAGGAGTTCCATTGCTTCCAGGAATATTTTGAAAGTCCCAAAAAAGTACTCACTGTCTTTATCTTTTTATACCCTACACCACAAGGTGGTCAGGGTATTATGTCTTTGTGCATTTGTTTGTAACAGGCAGAAGGAAACGAGATAGACCCATAGTTCCTTTTGATAATCTGCATAGAATCACATTCTGAGTCGATTTATGCATGTCCGTCCGTCCGTCTGTCCGTCCGTCCGTCCGTCTGTCCATGTATTTTTGTAAACAAAGTACAGGTCGCATTTATTGCCCGATCCAGAGGAAATTTTGCACAGATCATTTGTTTGGCCCAAGGACGAACCCTATTGAAATTGGAGATAATCGGTCAAAATTTAGATATAGCTCCCATATATATTTTCGTCCGATTTGCCTTTTATTGTGCACCAAACGTGTAATATCAGCCCGAATTGTATGGAATTTTGCATATACACCCATATTAGGCCTGAAAATATGTGTGACAAATTCGATCGAAATCGGTTCAGATATAGCTATAGCTCTCATATATATTGTTCATCCGATTTGTTATTTTTGTCCACCGCCGCCGTAATATGCACTCTGCAACAACAATATTTGGGGAAATGTATCAAATACAGCTCAGAAATACCCTTGCTAAATTTTATCGAGATCGGTTCAGATTTGGATATAGCTCCCATATATAACTTCGTCCGATTTCAAATTTATTGTGCACCAAATGGGCAATACAATTCCGAATTTAAAATATACAAATGCTTCGGCATATTTAGTCCTTTGAACTTTAAATTATAATTATAATCTTAGCTTGTATGACTGAATTCTCCCATAAAAACTTTTAATTGTTATGTGGAGCTCTACTAAATTAGCAAAGTTGTGTAGGGTATCATAAAGTCGGCCCCGCCCGACTTTAAGACTTTCTTTACTGGTTTGTCTTTGCTTTTCTCACCCGCCATTGCCTCAATAGGGTTGCAATCTCTCTTTGGAAAATAGAATCTCATTGCAACCTGGAAGATTTTAATGGTGGATCAAAATATAAACATTTGGAGTATCACTAAAGGTCCTTCTAAGTTTTCTATGGTTAAAATCGTTCTATGATATATATTTTCGTCGTGTCAATCTGGAAGAAATCCATCTATGGAACTGGAAATCTGATTTCAATCGGGAAGATTTTAAATGGTTGATCGGGCCACTAAAACAATTCTCAACGGGGTCGTCGACTCTTACGTGGTACAATCGTTGCAGCAATTGGGTTGGAGTTTAAGGCTTATAGACTTTCATTGCCTCTGGGAAGATTTTTAATAGCCAGCTTAATATCTAAATCCTTTCTGAATCTCTGTATGGAACAAAAAATATAATTGTAAGTGTACAGATTTTCTAAGGTTGTGTCAATCTGAAAGGAATCCCTCTATCGAACTGAAAATCTCATTTTAGTCACGAGGATTTTAATGGATGAAGATATTATAAACAGTTAGTAACATCGTTGCACCAATCATGTTGGTGTCTAAGAATCAATAAGTCTTCTGCTTCCGGGAAGATTTTTAATGCGTTGTATAAATCTGGACAAAATCCCACTATGGATCTGGAAGTCTTCATTTCAATCATCGAAATGAGGATAGTCGTTAGAAACTTGGAACCTCAACTGTTCAAAGGCGAAAAAGGAAAGGGCAACCTTATGCTTCGATTCTCTATCCGGCTCGAGGGATTAAATATAATGTTCGAATAGAAAAAACAACTTTATTCCTTGGATGTAGTTTCGATGTCTGCTATTGAACATGGAATGCTATTGAACATGGAACGTGTGTATTTGGAACTTTTTACTAATTTTCCTAAATAAATCGAGACAATTGCTGTTGCCTTAGCAGTCCTAATTCACACTATTCAACATCAATCACCAGATATATAAAATAAACCATTTCCTTCTAAACATTCTGATAACTAGACAAACAAGATATTTTCTATTGTTTTATCTGCTACATAGTTAAAACAGCAAAGTGTCTTTAATCAGTTTTTAGTCAGATTTATTGTGATTGGTCAATTATCAAGGTGGAGATTTTGTATGTAAACTTTCTTTTAGATAACATTTTATTGGATATTATCATAAGCCTACATCAAGGCAATTGATAGTCGAAATCTAATGAATTCATTGTACGTGAACATGCTTTCACTCAACATTAGAACAATACATTCGTTTATGACTGGCTTACCACACCAGCCGAATAAAAAATGACAATTAAATAATCCTAATAAGCTACTACATACATTATTAGACTTGGAAACACATAAGAATACTTAGCTTAACATACATATTTAATAAATAATATTAAGAATAAATATTAGTCAGCTTCATTAAAAATATATACTCATAAAAATATATTAATCGTCTACAACAGCATATAAAATGTGTCAATAGAATATCAATTATAATATTAATCAATAATATTTAAATCATACATACATATATATGTCAAAGTAGTCAATATAAATTATCAATTCTATTATATGTATTATCGTAGTATGCTTCATTGAAAGTAAACCGTAAATTTTACTAAATATAATTATTGTTATAATATTTAATGGTGTTATATTTAATAAAATTTAAATGTAGAACCCTGCAAACAATGTTGTTTTAATTTTTCCAAGAAATGGTTGGTAAGTACATAAACACATAAATAAATAATTACTAGGAAGCAATACCAAAGACCTAAAATGGTAAAGACTAGACAAAATGCGTTTTAAGCAAATGGTTTGTGTCTACAATACATGGAGTAACTGCTCATGGCAGAGGCATGTTAATATAAATACCACAATTACAGAAACGAATGACAAATAAAAGTTTGAAAAATCCAAAAATGTGGTTTCAAGCTTTTATTCCATATACCTTTCCAAAAAGTGTGCTTATTTCATTAGTGGTTTAACATTCGTAGCTATAGATATTTGAACACCCTCCACCATTTGGAACGAATTTGGCAATTCTCAAAAAAATTAAAATCCGTTAAAATTCTATTAAAATCTTAAAAATACCGAATGTAGCTTTTATATTAGGGTCCATGGACAAACACATAGAAGAGTCAATATATGGCAACCCTTTGAAAATACCTCCGTTGTTATGATACAGTGACACCATAATTAGCAATGTTATGCGATTTAAACCACTTAGGCAATATGCAATTAATTGTGAAAGTCTATGGAATATAATTTTGAAACCCAATTTTTGGATTTTTCAAACATTTGTTTGTCATTTTTTTCTATAAATGTGTTTTTTATATATATAGTCATGAGCTGTTATCTAGATAGTATGGACACAAACCATTTGCTCAAAATGGACCTGCACAGATAATTTTCTGTCATAGGCTGTAGTATCCATTTTGAACTTCAAATACCAAATTTGAAACAATTCCGGTGAATAATGTCGCTAAAATCAACAAAGTGCCGAATATCGGGAGGTACCGTTATATGGGGGCTATACGAAGTCGTGGACCTGTACAGACGATGAGTATTGCCGCTAAAATTATCAAAATACCTAATATCGGGAGGTTCCGTTATATGGGGCTATACCAAAGCGTGGGCCTACATGGCCCATTTTCAATGCCAAAAGTCCTGCAGACATAATATACATTTGAGTAAAATTTTATCAATCTACTTCAATTCGTTCGGAAGCTAGAGTGATTTCCACAGACAGGTAGACGGACGGACATCGCTAAATCGACATAGAATTTAATGCAGATCAAGAATATATATATACTTTGTGGGGTCTAAAATGTATATTTCGAGGTGTTACAAACGGAATGACAAACTTAATATACCCTCAATACTATGGTGGAGGCTATAAAAAAATATATTCGGCCCTATTACGGTTATCGTCGGCGTCGCAAAATGAAGTCGAGGCGACAATATATGTGATATTAGGGTTGTCGTTTTTTGTCGATAGCGACAAATGGTTGCCATTATCATTGTCGATACAACAGTCGACGTGAAGTCGATTTTTGAGAATATCTGTCGCCGTAAAAAATTGTGACGACATAGTACTTTTTAGTCGACGTTGATATTGTAAGCATTTTGTATTTTATATTTGACCATGAAAATAACAACAGCAAAACAATTTGAACTTTTGGTTTCCGAATTGATTGAGGACTTACCAAAGGTCATGTTCCAGCAAATTTTAATTCACATTGGGAATCCATTACTACAAAATTAAATGTAAACGGGCCTCCGATTAGAGACTCCGATGGCTGGCAAAAAGTATGTAAAAATTAAAATTATTTTTGTATGTTTTATTAGTTGGTTTTCTAAAATTCTTCTAGGTTTGGAAAGATTAAAAATTTAAAACTAAAAAGAAACTTGTGCACAACAAGGGTGAAACCAGCAGCAATGGAGGTGGCATTTTTAAGCAAATGAGTTTGTCGCCTTTGGAGGAGTCTGTCGCGAATATAATGCAGTTTTAAAAGTTATGTAATCCACCAGGTCGTGCACTTGGAATAGAAGATAAGGAAAACATAAGTGTAATAGACGTTATAGTTCATGAAAATGAGCATGTGGACAATGCTAAAAAAACAATGTTAAAAAGTCACCAAGGAAAGCAGAAACTATTGAACTCTTGAAAGAGCGGCGTAAACTTTTGGAACAACACAATCAAGAGCCAGGCAATGCAAATATGTTTGTTGGCAGCCTTAACACTCGCCGCTGCACTACAAATACATTCTTCTCTTCATCCTCCCTTGAACTTAAGATATGTAACGCATTTATAATCTTCATTTTTTCACTATATTTTTTATTTTTCCGAAAGAGTCCAAATTAGAATTCAAAATACCAAAAAAAAAATATATATTTTTTTTTTGTCAATAACAAGGAAGTGCTTCCAACGTTTTTTTTTTTTTTAATTGTTGCCAACTTTTATTTTAAACTGTCGATGTCGCTTCTATGCCTTACCATAATACCATTTTTGAATCGAAGCGACGGCGAGGGCGACTCGACATAAAGTCGACGACGACTATAGTAACGACAACCGTAATTGGGCCGATTATCTTCGAATATAATGTCAGACATCTTTGTGTAAAATTTCGCTAAGAAAATATGATTTATTTCTACTTAAATTAAATTTTTTGTTTGTGGATTAGTGGGGACATCAAATTTAAAAGAAATCCGACAGGAACATCGACAGTTTTTTTTTTTAATTTTTATTTTATGTTAACCGGAATATGTATGGCAAATATGTATATAAAAAACAAACTGTTTTCTGCTCCTAACTCCACACATTCGAAAGGCAATTTCTTAAGCTTTCAATTGATACTCATATCAGTTCTAAAAAAATGGTTACATTTCGGCTTTTACTCGAACTTTCGGTTCAAAAAACCGGATAACCGGTTACGACCAACGGGTAAAATTTACATATTTGTAATCAAGAGTCCAAGATCTATGGTATAAATTTCAGACCTATCCGCGAGCTAGGTTTAATTAAATATAATACGACATTGCCTCAATAAATACAATTCTTGTAAAATAAAAATACATTCGATTTATTATAAAAAAATAAAATGCAATAACAATAATTATTGTTGCCGTGTTTTCAATTTAGACTTCGGCAATTCGGAAAGACGTTGGCGACGCTTGGACTCCATTTCTTTTGCCAATTCCCAAGATTCTTTATCGAGAACATTTTTGCCACGTGCAATAGCCAATAGTCGTGACAGGACAAGAAGTGAATGCAAGTCGTCAGCACTTGTTACTGAATTCGTCTTTCGCATTTCCACAAAGTCATTTTGTATCATCTCGGTATCACCAGGATTCATAGTAAAATCGGAAGTTTTCGCATTAGTGAGATAACGTCTAAATTGTTCCAGGCGAGAATTTTGACTCAGATAATGATTGGCGGCTTTTAATGTTTCTGTCATTAACTGAACGGATTCAGTGTCTGTTTTCAAGGGCAATGAAATGTCACTCTAGAATTAAAGAAAACGGGCTTAATAACATTGTTTTATCTACTGCCGAATTACAATGACTACTTACCGGCAGCATACTTCTACCTTCACTCAATATTAATACTGGTATATCGACATTGTAGTCTATTTCGTAATATTGGAAATTACATTTAATTTGTTGATTATTTATTAGATTGGCTATGCTCTGAATGCCCATAACACCATTTGCTTCTAGTTTACCCTGTTGCATACGAGTTTCATCTAGCACCAAGTGAGTATGCGGTGCTAATTGCAACAAGCCTGACACCAGCTTATTTGTTTCGTAGTCTTTTCTAAAATCAGATGAAATGTGGTTATACAAATTGTTTAATGCCCTTTTTATTATTTACTCACTTTGGAACAAAAGCTGCTGTGTTCATGGTATCCAATGTCATAGGCAAATAATGACTCGCCGGTAATATCTGTTCTAATATTCCATACAGTTGCTTGGTATATTCTGCCACAGATTCCTTTGGTAAATTGCAAATGTTTAGAGAAAACTTTCCAATACTTTGCAATTCGCAACGACTATAAACAGTAGATATAAGATGTGATAGCAAATAGTCAGCAGCCAAGTCATCATTAAAAAGACACAATGTCAACAACATGCGTAAATCCTTTTGAATAGATATCACACTGGCACTGTCTGCCTCCCACTTTCCTAAACGTTGATCCAGTAGAGGATTGGCATGTGGTAATACGTGCACAGCTATGGCATGCAAACGAGGTATTAGAGAAGGGGGTGGATTTTGAGCTTGTAATTCACCAACATTGTCATAGTCGACGTCCATATTTGTCCCATCCAAACATGGATCTACTGACAAAAACCCAACAACATCGACAATGGTATTTATGATATACGAGTCAAAATCGCTATACACCTTGACCATACACGCTTTACTTGGCCTGTCTGGTATTGGAGAATTAAGTAGGTAATCCGCACCAAGGCACGCGGAAGAAGCGGAACCCGGCGTTGTTTTTCCGTCGCTTGCAATTTGGTCTACTTTTTGTCGCTTGTTTGTATCTGTTTGTCCCTTACTTGAGCACTGCGTTAATTCTTCGGTATCCATGCATTCTGTATCCATTTCCTCTTCAGCGACATCGCTAAATCGACATAGAATTTAATGCAGATCAAGAATATATATATACTTTGTGGGGTCTAAAATGTATATTTCGAGGTGTTACAAACGGAATGACAAACTTAATATACCCTCAATACTATGGTGGAGGCTATAAAAAAATATATTCGGCCCTATTACGGTTATCGTCGGCGTCGCAAAATGAAGTCGAGGCGACAATATATGTGATATTAGGGTTGTCGTTTTTTGTCGATAGCGACAAATGGTTGCCATTATCATTGTCGATACAACAGTCGACGTGAAGTCGATTTTTGAGAATATCTGTCGCCGTAAAAAATTGTGACGACATAGTACTTTTTAGTCGACGTTGATATTGTAAGCATTTTGTATTTTATATTTGACCATGAAAATAACAACAGCAAAACAATTTGAACTTTTGGTTTCCGAATTGATTGAGGACTTACCAAAGGTCATGTTCCAGCAAATTTTAATTCACATTGGGAATCCATTACTACAAAATTAAATGTAAACGGGCCTCCGATTAGAGACTCCGATGGCTGGCAAAAAGTATGTAAAAATTAAAATTATTTTTGTATGTTTTATTAGTTGGTTTTCTAAAATTCTTCTAGGTTTGGAAAGATTAAAAATTTAAAACTAAAAAGAAACTTGTGCACAACAAGGGTGAAACCAGCAGCAATGGAGGTGGCATTTTTAAGCAAATGAGTTTGTCGCCTTTGGAGGAGTCTGTCGCGAATATAATGCAGTTTTAAAAGTTATGTAATCCACCAGGTCGTGCACTTGGAATAGAAGATAAGGAAAACATAAGTGTAATAGACGTTATAGTTCATGAAAATGAGCATGTGGACAATGCTAAAAAAACAATGTTAAAAAGTCACCAAGGAAAGCAGAAACTATTGAACTCTTGAAAGAGCGGCGTAAACTTTTGGAACAACACAATCAAGAGCCAGGCAATGCAAATATGTTTGTTGGCAGCCTTAACACTCGCCGCTGCACTACAAATACATTCTTCTCTTCATCCTCCCTTGAACTTAAGATATGTAACGCATTTATAATCTTCATTTTTTCACTATATTTTTTATTTTTCCGAAAGAGTCCAAATTAGAATTCAAAATACCAAAAAAAAATATATTTTTTTTGTCAATAACAAGGAAGTGCTTCCAACGTTTTTTTTTTTTTTAATTGTTGCCAACTTTTATTTTAAACTGTCGATGTCGCTTCTATGCCTTACCATAATACCATTTTTGAATCGAAGCGACGGCGAGGGCGACTCGACATAAAGTCGACGACGACTATAGTAACGACAACCGTAATTGGGCCGATTATCTTCGAATATAATGTCAGACATCTTTGTGTAAAATTTCGCTATGAAAATATGATTTATTTCTACTTAAATTAAATTTTTTGTTTGTGGATTAGTGGGGACATCAAATTTAAAAGAAATCCGACAGGAACATCGACAGTTTTTTTTTTTTAATTTTTATTTTATGTTAACCGGAATATGTATGGCAAATATGTATATAAAAAACAAACTGTTTTCTGCTCCTAACTCCACACATTCGAAAGGCAATTTCTTAAGCTTTCAATTGATACTCATATCAGTTCTAAAAAAATGGTTACATTTCGGCTTTTACTCGAACTTTCGGTTCAAAAAACCGGATAACCGGTTACGACCAACGGGTAAAATTTACATATTTGTAATCAAGAGTCCAAGATCAATGGTATAAATTTCAGACCTATCCGCGAGCTAGGTTTAATTAAATATAATACGACATTGCCTCAATAAATACAATTCTTGTAAAATAAAAATACATTCGATTTATTATAAAAAAATAAAATGCAATAACAATAATTATTGTTGCCGTGTTTTCAATTTCGACTTCGGCAATTCGGAAAGACGTTGGCGACGCTTGGACTCCATTTCTTTTGCCAATTCCCAAGATTCTTTATCGAGAACATTTTTGCCACGTGCAATAGCCAATAGTCGTGACAGGACAAGAAGTGAATGCAAGTCGTCAGCACTTGTTACTGAATTCGTCTTTCGCATTTCCACAAAGTCATTTTGTATCATCTCGGTATCACCAGGATTCATAGTAAAATCGGAAGTTTTCGCATTAGTGAGATAACGTCTAAATTGTTCCAGGCGAGAATTTTGACTCAGATAATGATTGGCGGCTTTTAATGTTTCTGTCATTAACTGAACGGATTCAGTGTCTGTTTTCAAGGGCAATGAAATGTCACTCTAGATTTAAAGAAAACGGGCTTAATAACATTGTTTTATCTACTGCCGAATTACAATGACTACTTACCGGCAGCATACTTCTACCTTCACTCAATATTAATACTGGTATATCGACATTGTAGTCTATTTCGTAATATTGGAAATTACATTTAATTTGTTGATTATTTATTAGATTGGCTATGCTCTGAATGCCCATAACACCATTTGCTTCTAGTTTACCCTGTTGCATACGAGTTTCATCTAACACCAAGTGAGTATGCGGTGCTAATTGCAACAAGCCTGACACCAGCTTATTTGTTTCGTAGTCTTTTCTAAAATCAGATGAAATGTGGTTATACAAATTGTTTAATGCCCTTTTTATTATTTACTCACTTTGGAACAAAAGCTGCTGTGTTCATGGTATCCAATGTCATAGGCAAATAATGACTCGCCGGTAATATCTGTTCTAATATTCCATACAGTTGCTTGGTATATTCTGCCACAGATTCCTTTGGTAAATTGCAAATGTTTAGAGAAAACTTTCCAATACTTTGCAATTCGCAACGACTATAAACAGTAGATATAAGATGTGATAGCAAATAGTCAGCAGCCAAGTCATCATTAAAAAGACACAATGTCAACAACATGCGTAAATCCTTTTGAATAGATATCACACTGGCACTGTCTGCCTCCCACTTTCCTAAACGTTGATCCAGTAGAGGATTGGCATGTGGTAATACGTGCACAGCTATGGCATGCAAACGAGGTATTAGAGAAGGGGGTGGATTTTGAGCTTGTAATTCACCAACATTGTCATAGTCGACGTCCATATTTGTCCCATCCAAACATGGATCTACTGACAAAAACCCAACAACATCGACAATGGTATTTATGATATACGAGTCAAAATCGCTATACACCTTGACCATACACGCTTTACTTGGCCTGTCTGGTATTGGAGAATTAAGTAGGTAATCCGCACCAAGGCACGCGGAAGAAGCGGAACCCGGCGTTGTTTTTCCGTCGCTTGCAATTTGGTCTACTTTTTGTCGCTTGTTTGTATCTGTTTGTCCCTTACTTGAGCACTGCGTTAATTCTTCGGTATCCATGCATTCTGTATCCATTTCCTCTTCAGCGACCGGTCTTTTAATAGATCGATTCGAAGACTCCCCATTAGTGATAATTTCAGGCACATTTCGCTTATTACAGTTTTCTTCATATGTTTTAGCCCAATCGTTTATGCCTGGAATTGATACCACGAAGAGAACTCTGCGTTCACCCTGCACATTTGTTTCAGAATGATAATTGACTTCCTCGTCTTTTCCAAGAAGCAAACAATCCCGATATTTCCCCGGTTGCATGCGAATTTCTCCAGATCCACTGGAGTGCTCCTTCTTCTTAACTTCATAGCTTTCCAAATAGATTTCCGGATCAAGCATATCTTGTATCATACCACGAAATCGAACAACAGAATAATCTTTAAGTTTATGGAGTGGCGTATAATTGAGCAATGGAATGGTTGCCCATAGCTGCGGGTCTTCAAAAGCCTTGCAAAACGCAGCATTGTCTGAACCAACAAATTCTTCTGGTGATTGGGGTAATTTTAGAGCTGAAACTTCAGTTTTAACAAACATTTCTCTTTGTGTATTTGCTTTTATTAAAGAAATTATATGAATACCACGGCTCGCGGACGGTCTAGTTCGAGTTGTTGATACTGTTTGTTTGCAATAATTTTGCGCGCAATTTTACATTTGTCAAATTTTTAAGCATATGTCAACAGGTGGCGCTTTTGCCTATATAACAGCCAGTGTTGTAATTGATTAAAAATCAGTCAGTATATTTCGAATATAGAGCAATAATAAGGTATTACACAAAATCTACAAAATTACATGGTACCATGCAAAATTGGATGTTTTCATTTATTTGATATTTTTTGTTCATGTTCAAAATGAGTCAAATAGCGCGAAATATAGAATCATTCATATTTCGCGCTATTTTACTGATTTTGATAATGAACAAAAAATGTCTAATAAATGAAAACAATTTGTTCAATCTTTTGTTCAATCTTTCAATTCCATGGGTAATGTGGTTACTAGTTTTGATACGCGCCCCGCAATTTAAGTTTCTTCCAATCACTGATTTTCAAAATATGTTGTTTTTATTTTTCAAAACAACGAATACTTACACAAAATTGGCATAAGTCATGTACGCTTAGAAAGAAAATTGTAATCAGCTCTACCTTACCTTTTTATAGTACCATGAGAACAATAATGTTTTACCCATGGTACAATAAGGAGGTAAAACAGGATTCCTTTCACAGTTATATGCTACAAGATTTTTCACTTATTTCATATTTTTAAAATGTGTTAAATAGCGTCATAAATATAATTCAAACTGTTCAATCTTTCAGTTCCATAGCAACGCTGGTTAATATATATATTACTCATCCCGCAATGTACCTTTCTTCCAATCATTGATTTTGAAAATATTTTGTTTTTATTTTCTAAAACAATAAATACATACAGAAAATTGACAGAAGTTGGGCACATTTTTAAGATGAGAGTGCATAAGCAGCTAGAAGTCTTCGGATGGCATATTTTATGACATATCATAAAGGAATACCAGAGCCGCACTCGAATCCTGCCGTCATTTTTCCTTATAATTTGACATTAATATGCCTAGCCATGATGCCAGCTGCTTATGTACTCCCACCCATGCCTCAATAAGGAAGGTTGCTCAACTTCAAAGAAACTTGAAAAGTGCAACTCTGTGCTGGAATCTTATAGTGTCTTATAGACTTATAGTGGAATCTTATAGACTTTTAAATATGCAACAGTTGGTTTTGTCTATTTTTCAATTTTAACAAAATTGTTATGTTGCTGAAAAACCGCTAAGCAAGAATTGAATTTTGGGTTTATTCCTCTCTCTCTCTCTCTCTATCTATGATAAAAATTGCAAAACTAGTAGATTCTTTTAGGTACTGGAACAGAGCATTAGTTGTCATATAGGCCATAAAATACATCCTTCACTCTTTTATTGCCAATTCTTCCAATTCCTTTCGTTAATCCCACCAATTTTCGATCTGGAGAGACCTAGTTTTCTTTACCACAAAAACGGCAGTGTAAGAACCAGTCGCAGTTGTAATATTTGTAATATTCCGGCTTCGAACTCTGACTAATTCCTGTGATACAAACAAAATTCCATGAAATCCGGATGAATATGGATGATCTGGACGAACAGCTGAAACAATTGAGTTTAATAAATGGTCGCCTATCGGTTGCCGTAGCGAATAATGAAGCCACTCCCGAGAATCGTCATATCGGTGTCGCGAAGCTGGTCAGCAATATTGAAGAGAGAAATAATTTGTCTTCCACACAAATTTATAACACTACAAATAAAAAGGTGGGCCCTCCGCTAGTTCCTCCGAAGCCGCACAAGAAACCAACCACTTTTTTGGAGAATCAAGATGAAAACCATTATGAAACCACAACAGTTGGTGCAGGATTTGCAAAGCAGCCTTTATTATTGCGCAAGCAATCCTCTACTTCCTCCATCATTTCGCCACCAGGTGTTCCTCCGCTACTTTCGTCGCCTAAGGTTACCTTAGACAATCCAGCTATATTGGAACAGCAACTGGAAGCTCTAGAACATCATAAGAAGCAATTGGAGAAAATGGGTAAAATTACCAATCGCAATGATTCTGCTACGGTTTCGAAATCAAAATTATCAACAATTCCAAAACTGTCATCCACATCACTATTGTCCGATGTGACTATCAAACCGCAATTATCATTGGACGGCTCTAGTGCTACATACGCCAACATGAGGCGGACTAACTCCCCATCGCTCTTATCTCCTGGTGGTGGTGGTGGTTCGAATAGCATTAAGAACAACCTATATAGTAATGTAGGTAATATTTATTCCAATCTACAGCCATCCTCTACATCACAATCGCTTACTGACCCAGGCGACGGTGGCATTTACTATGCCCAAAACTTATCCATGCTGCCAGAGGATGAAATCCCACCACCTCCCAGTCCAGTTAGTTCATCCTATAGTGAACTGCGACGTGCCACTGAAGTATTCAAAACCAACAATGCTGCGCATAAGCCAATCGCTGCTTCAAATGATCAGATGTGTATAGCCAAGCCAGTGAGTGGTTACGGTTTACCGCTAGATCACAAGGCACATGTTGCAGGAAACGAGTCTCGTTACATTAATAAGCAATATATATCTAATATGGGATATAACAATTACAATAACATGCAACAAGTAAACTCCGCTGCCAATTCTGATTTTTACGGATATGGAGGATTTTCTCAAACATCATCGACTTACGAATCAATATATGAACCAATAAATCCTAGACCACCAAGTCAGATGTCCAATAATTCAAATAACGCTATGTATCCTTCCTGCTTGAAGGGAGTGGGGAGTATTGGATCAATGCCACCCTGTGCTGGCATACTTAGCAAAAGTAACAGCAGCAATTTAAGCCTTGAGAGCGCTATTGATCCTAATATGCAAATTTATCCAAAACCAACTCGGGACAGTGCTAGCGGTATTTTGGGTCCTAGCTCGTCCAGACACAAAGAGGACGAAGTTGAAGCTCTCACGGATTATTTGGTACAGTCCATGGGATCACCACAGGATTTGGAAAGCTACGGAATATGCTACAAATGCAAAGAACGAGTTGTGGGTGAGAATTCCGGTTGCACTGCCATGGATCAAATATATCACATTGCATGCTTCACGTGCTCTCAATGTGCTCTTAATTTACAAGGCAAACCCTTCTATACATTGGATGGTAAGCCATACTGTGAGTATGATTATTTGCAAACATTGGAAAAATGTTCGGTATGCATGAATCCTATCTTGGAGCGTATATTGCGAGCCACTGGCAAACCCTATCATCCACAGTGCTTTACTTGTGTCGTGTGTAAGAAAAGTCTGGACGGTGTACCATTTACAGTGGATGCTACCAATCAAAACTATTGCATTGAAGACTTTCATAGGAAGTTTGCACCTTGTTGCTGTGTATGTAAGGAACCAATAATGCCGGAACCAGGCGAAACGGAAACTGTTCGTGTTGTGGCGCTCGATCGGAGCTTCCATTTTGAATGCTATAAATGTGAGGATTGTGGTTTGTTGCTTTCGTCCGAGGCAGAAGGACGTGGTTGTTATCCTCTTGATGACCATGTTTTATGCAAGAGTTGTAACGCCAAGCGTGTGCAAATACTCACTAATCAAATGCTTGGGAATACCACAGAACTTTAAACGAAATCAATTCAATCAAAATTACATTTAATTCAATCAAAGTTACATTCCATGTTACGTATAAAGAAATAATCCTTAAATACAATAGTAGCTTAATGTAGGGCTGGGAGAAATTCTTTCGCATTTATACAAATATATAAGTAAATGGAAATACATTCCAACAATATGCTTCTACTAGTATATGTGGCGTTTTGTGTACTTTTGAACTAATGGTATAGCTACCATATTTAATACCCTAATATTTAAATGAATGTGTCATTGTACTAGTAATTATCAAAACATTTGTACTTTTATAACTCTAATGTTTCGATTTGATACCAAATATATGTGTGTAAAACTTAAAAAGTTCAAAACAATTAAAATGTTTTTAATTTGAGGAAATATAGCCACTATTTCAATTGATTTGCAAATGTTTCTAATCATACATTTTTTTATGGGACATATCCATTGAAAGTTAAAACAAGTAAAACAGTATCAGTCGGTCAGTCAGAGTTATGATTATTCAAACTGTTAACCCTTTATGGGGGAGGTTCCGAAGCAGTTGGCCAATATTGACCAATTCGTATCTGACCTAAGACTGATTTCAGATATATGTGCAAATTTTTGGAAAATCTGAAAATATGTGTGAGGTAACAGATAAAGCGGACCATTATCATGTTTCATCTAATACAGTAAAAATATTGGTATGAGCAAAATTTGAAAGAAATCGAACATTTATATCCAATTTTATGTGAAATTATGAATTTTCCATAAATATTTATATCTTTCAATCGTTAATTTTGAGAATTTTTTGGTTTTTATTTTTTTTTAATATAATAAATAAATACAAAATCCAAATTGGCAGAAATCGGGCTGAGTGTGCCCGATTACTATACTCGTAAATTTAACTATAATCAAAAGATTTGACAATATAAGATGTCGAGGTTTTAATGTAAATATCGCTTGGAACATGAAACGTAGCAATGAAGGTATAACATGAAGAATTCCACATTACGTTGGCGAATAATTAGATTACTCATCAGCTGTGTATTTGTCGTTACGTTACGTTAATACCGCCACTAAATGGCACTGCTTCGTTCAGTTTGCAAATTGCAGCTTCTTTGTTTTCGTTAAAAATATATCGTTTAAAAACATTCTAGACTAAATAGAGAATCGGGGTATTGTTTTTGTCAAAACGGCGAATAAAAGTAAATTTTTCGCAAGAAACAATGTGTGGAAGGAGTCCACTCAATATATTAGACTTACCCAGTGTGGTCTTAATGGAGATATTTGAATATCTAAGTTACGATGAAGTTTCAAAGAAAAGACTGGTATGTATGGTATTTGCTATTGTTTTCGATGTAAACAAACACATAATATTGTGGCGTGCGTAATTAAAATGCATCTGCACCGCTACGCTATTTTATTTATTCTCTAGGTTTGCCGACGATTTGATCACATTTGCCAGCAAGTATTAAACGGAGGGTTTAATAAAGTCATAAAGCAGCATTCGATTAATTTTAAACGAATAAAAGCGCTTCTGCCCCGCAGAGAATCGGAGCGACGGTAAGAAGATTCCCGTAAACATTTTTGACAAGGTCATTTCTATGTATATACGTTATTGTTGCTGCGTTTAGAAATCACTGCCTGGCTCGACATGCAGATATTCTTACTTCCATAGAGACGCGCATTTCGATGTTATCCATGACCTATTCTAAATATATGGACTTGAATTTGTGCTGCTTTATTCCTGGAAAGGTTCTGGATGAAATATTTCGTATATTGCGTCTGATAGGCAAAAGCAATAAACCACTGAGGCCCCATGAGGTGCTACAAGAACTACGAGATATTTCATCAATGGCCATAGAACATTTCGATGAAAAAATTGTGCATCAATTGAAGAAAACATTCGCAGACAACAGCGGAGGCGGAAGTAAAATGTGCTGTCCAGAAATCAGACGTTCGACTCCCAGCAATACTGGTCTGGGTAATATTTCGTTCAGTGGTATGGGAGCTTCATCCCCGCCGTTTGTAACACCTTACATCTATGGTAGTAATGAATATGTTTTGGAACCTCTCACTCATCGTTTAGGAAGTACATTAAAGACAGCAGCCGGTAACAGTGGTGGCAATCACGCCGACCAACAGTCACCATCAACATCTTCAGCATATTTTGGTGGTGGTGAACACCAACATATAGTTGCACATCCTCCAGGCGATTGTCCAGAGGCTCGTTCAGCACTGATGTATTGCAAGAAACTTGAAGGCGATTATAAGAAGGGTGTGGTCAAGGTAATATTGCCTTTGTTTAATATATATCGAAATCGAAGTAGTAATTGTCAAAAATTCAAATATCGTAGGAAAGTACAGCTATCATTTGAGGTATTTTATGCTTTAGCAATTATTTAAATTTCACTTAAATCCCAAATGAAACATATAGTTTGGATAATTGAGAATATTAGTAAAAAAGGTTAAAGAAATTTTCAAATATTTAGAACTTCGAGATTTAGTTCATTTTAGTGTAATTCAGATCAGTTTGATACTGTATAAAGACATTTTGAAAAGAATTACGTGCACCTTTAGCTGCTATCAGCTGTAAATAGTTTTTTTTTTGTCAAACTTACGTTCTGCTGATTGTCAAACTAACATGGTTTCATAGCAATAGCTGGTTTTCTTGAATTTGTATAAAAGCACGCTTTCATAATAGGCGTTTTTTTAAAGATATACAGGGTGAGATAAAAAACTGCAATAAAGTCCAACGCCATTTTTTATATATATATTTTTTAAAAATTTTATTGAATGAAAGCAAAAAAGGTCGGAAATAACATCAAATTTTACAATAAGTTTAAATTTGTTCGAATTGCTCACCTTTGGCACGAATTACGGCCTTCATGCGGCCAATGAAACCGTCACACGCGTCCCGAATGATGTTCTGCAGTAATTTGGGTCATTCCCGGCGAAGCGCTTACTTGAGGTGATCGACACTTTGTAATTTTTTTAGTGCCAACCTTGCTTTCCAAAATACTACAGACACAATAGTCCAACGGATTGGTATCCGGAGATTTTGGTGGCTATTGTGCGCTGGAAATGGAGCGAGGAACCTCATTTGTAACCATTTTTGTGTTGCCCGTGCTGAGTCTTGTTTTAATGTCTAAGGTCTGCGGCCAAATTGTTTGCGTGCGCAAGGCTTCGATACACCCTCCAGAATATTTTCGCGATAATATTCGGCATTTATTCTGATGCCAAATACGAGCGGAGAGCGACCAACGGCTGTTATGGCGGTCCATACCATCACCATGGCCAACGTATTGGTATCCGGATATTTTGTTGGCTATTGTGCGCTGGAAATGAAGCGAGGAATCTCATTTGTAATCATTTTTGGATGGCGCGTGCTGAGTCCTGTTGGCATGTCCAAGGTCTGCGGTCAAATTGTTTGCGTGCCTAAGGCTTCAATACACCCTCCAGAATATTTTCGCGATAATATTCGGCATTTATTCTGATGCCACGGTCGATTAATATGAGCGGAGAGCGACCAACGGCTGTTATGGCGGCCCACACCATCACCATGACCAGCGCTTGAGTTCAGGTGGCCAACCGAAGGTGCACATTTTCAGCTGACCTCTTTGGCAAGTAAACACGATCATTTTGTTTGTTTACAAACTGCTGGACAACGAATGTTTTCTCATCGGAGAAATCCATATTCGGCAGTTCAACACTTTCAGCCAAGCGAAGCAACTCTTTAGAGTCTATTTTCGTTCTGTTGCGGTGTAAGTTCTTGCTGGAATATTGCGATATGTTCAGTTCACGACCCATTTTTCGGCCACCGCGACGCAGGTTTCGATCAAGTCGCTCCTTTACTATTCGAACCATTTCTGCTGATGTTGCTGTTTTTTTCCGTCCACTTTCTTCACGTCGGGCTACGCTACCAGTATCACGGTAACGGGCGATGGTACAAGACACAAAAGATTTATTCACATTTAAATGCTAGAAAATTATCACCAAAAATGCTTTTGTACGCTTGTAAATAAGGCAATGAACTATCACTGGAATAATTTAGAAAGCTGTTGAACGAGTGGATTAAAAATTACAGCAGTCTCAAGTTGGTTGCAGTTTTTTCAACTTACCCTGTATATATATTTACTTAATGTTCAGAAAATAGAAGCAAGTGAGGGAGTAAATTAGATTTAATATAGAATGGAAAATACGCCAGCATAAGTTCATATTTAAAGAGATGAACAAGTTTTTTAAGATCCCTCTTTGAAGTAGGTTAGGTTAGGTTAAAGGACGCACAGCTGCATTTAGCAACTGCTCCACTCGGAGACCTATAGGTCCATTGTGTTCATCCTAGGAAAGAGTTAGAGCGAAAGATAGAGAAAGTATAAGAATTGACAGTAGGAAATAGATAGTACGTAGTCTACGGCTGAGTTTGCCGTGTCGTCTTTAGCCACTTGAACCTTCTGGCTAATTGAAGGATCACTGCAGGGTCCGTGGTAGAAAAAGAGGACAAATCACGTGACACTAGTTCTCCCACTAGTTTATGTCTCACGTTAATGAGCGCTGGGCAGTGGCAGAGCAAGTGTTCGATTGTCTCAATTTCTTCTTCATCTTGACAGATCCTGCAGTAATCAATATCATCGCTGTCCCATTTTGAGGTCATAGCCCTCACCTTACAGTGACCTGTGATGATGCCCACCACAAGTTTTAAATCTGGTTTAGACAATGACATCAGCGATCTTGTTCTCTTCTCTGAGAGCACAGGCCAGATTCTTTTGGAGATGGTACATCCCGTTTCATCCAGCCATTTTTGTTGTGTCTTTTCCTGGTAGTGTTTGCGAACGATCTGTAGGAAGTGGCACAGTGGTGGTTTGACCGAATTATCTATTTCTATTGTAGTTGATTCGGATCCTAGCCTGGCCAATTCATCTGCAGTTTCGTTACCTGTGATATTGTAATGGCCGGGAACCCAACAAAGCTTGATTGACAACCTAGAGTGTTCCAAGGCTTCCCTGCAGCTTAAAACAGCCCTAGACTTGATAGTAAAGGAATTTAGTGCTTTCAGTGCCGCCTGACTATCGACATATATAGTCACCGGACTTCCGACCTCTATGTTCCTCGTGACTAGCAGGTCTATGGCCTTTTTGACCGCCAGGATTTCTGCCTGAAAAACGCTACAATTGTTTCTGAGCTTGTAGGATTCACGGATATTAAGGGTGTCACAGAAGACACCTGCTCCCGTACCGCATTCCATCTTTGAGCCGTCGGTATATACAGATATGCCGCGGAAAGGTGGGCTGTTTTGGGACCAGGCTTCTCTTTCAGGTATGTGTATTTCAGGTGGGCAGAAGCTTAATCGTGGTGAAATATAATCACTTGCATAGGCTATCTCTCCCACAGTCCTTACACGCCTTAGAATCGTAGAGTGACCAAATGGTTGACTACGCCATTCACCTAGTTCCCTGAGCCGAAGAGCACACCTGAATGCCAGTTCCTCTACATGTATGGCCAGCGGGCTTAAACCCAGTAGAGTATCTAGCGCAGCTTGAGGCGTGCTCCTAAAGGCACCCGTTATTAGTAAGGATGCGGCTCTTTGGACTTTGTTAATGTTGCGTGAGTAAGTTGGCTTCTTTAGAGAATGCCACCATACTAGAGATCCATAGGTTAGAATGGGGCGAACGATTGACTCATACAACCATTTAATGATGTATGGTTTGAGGCCCCAGCTTTTACCTATGGAGTTCTTGCAAGAATAGAGTGCGATAAAACCTCTTTTGGCTCGTTCCTCAATATTCCTCTTCCAACTTAATTGTCGGTCAAGGATTGTACCAAGGTATTTGGCCTCTGGTGAGAGGTTTAGAGTGACTCCATCTAGTCTTGGTAGTGTAAATAACGGATATTTACGCTTCTTAGTGAAAAGTACGAGCTCTGTCTTTGCTGGGTTCACGCCTAGCCCGTTTTGACGTGCCCACCGTGATAGAGTGACTAGAGCTCCTTGCATTAGGTCCGAGATTGTTTGCGGGAATTTCCCGGCAATTAGTAGGACGACATCATCAGCGTATGCGACTACTTTCGTCCCTGTTACCTCTAGATCTATAAGTATGTTGTTAATAACCAAAAGCCAGAGTAACGGTGATAGGACGCCCCCTTGTGGCGTGCCCCTAGTGACCGATTTCCTGACAGATGTTTCCCCAATGCTCGAGTTGATGATTCTGCTGCTAAGCATGTTATCAACCCAGTCTATGAGGAGTTGTGGCAAATTAAGTTTTGATAGTGACTCATGAATGGATTCCAACGTGACGTTGTTGAAAGCTCCCTCAATGTCGAGGAAGGCAGCCAATGTGAATAAGGAGCCATTCATGTTCTTCTCTATATACCCTACGACATCATGTTGCGCTGTCTCAACAGATTTGCCTTTCATATAGGCATGTTGAGCAGTGCTGATGGCGGTTTGGGGTATTAGAGATCTGATCTCTGTGTCTATCAGCCTTTCCAAGGTTTTCAATAGGAAGGATGAGAGACTTATCGGTCTATAGTCCTTGGGAAGTGAGTGACTCGGTTTCCCCGCTTTGGGGATGTAAGTGACTGTGACTTCCCTCCATGATTCTGGGATGTAGGATAGACGCAGACAAGCTTTGAAAATCTCACTCAGTACTGGTGATATTACCGCTGAGACACTTTGGAGCATAGCAGGAATAACACCATCTGGTCCTGGAGATTTGAAAGGTTTGAATGTATCTATGGCCCACTTGATTTTGGGTAAACTTACTATTCTGTCAGCCAAGTCTTGGTCCCTAGTTGTATGATCATGATGTACTTGATCGGTTTGCCGATTGCTTGTCGCGTCAATACAGCCGGGGAAATGCGTGTTGGCTAGCAGGTTAAGAGTCTCTAGTCCAGAGTCAGTCCATGTGCCGTCAGTCCGTTTTATACTTCCGATGGATTTAGGGTCCTTCGAAAGGACTTTACGAAATCTGGAGGCTTCGTTGACACTTTCAATCGACTCAGTAAAGCATACCCAAGATGAGCGCTTGGCCTTCTTGATCTCACTGTTGTACTTGTTGAAGGATGCTTTGTAGGCATCCCAGTCCGTACTATGTTTGGTCTTGTTGGCCCTATTGTACAGTCGTCTACTATCCCTCCTTAAATTGGCTAAATGTTTTGACCACCAAACAGGTTGACATTTCTTTCCCGGGTGGGTTAGTGGACAGACTTTTTCATAACACCCAATTAAGGCACTAGTTATCGCATTTACGGAGTTGTCTATATCGAGGGTTGAGGTTAAGACCATGTTGTCGAAACGGTGAAGCCAGGGTATAGCCAGCTCCGTAAATTTGTCCCAATTTGCCTTTCTTGGGTTTCTATGAGGTTTTTGATGAATACCCTCCACCAGTATTTTGAAATTTATCTTTCGATGGTCTGAGAATGAACATTCGAGAGAAACTTTCCAATCTAGTATGAGAGATTCATCCATGTTAGTAAGGGTGAGATCAATGACCTCAGCCCTGTCTTTGACTAGAAATGTTGCATCGTTGCCCCTATTACATATTTTAAGGTTATATTTCAAAATAAAATCAAAAATCGACTCACCTCTGACGTTAGTATTCGTACTGCCCCATTGGAAGTGGTGTGCGTTGGCATCACAACCTATAATTATGTGCCCGTTGTTGACCAGATCGTCGAGCAGCTCCTCTACCTCGTGGCCGGGTGGGTCAGGTCGCTCATACGGTAGGTAGAGAGAAATGAAAAAGAGAACCCTCCCGGATTTGCATTCCATTCTCGCTACCGTGACGTCTCCTCCACTGTAGTTGCTAAGGAAGATAAGATTTAAATTCTTTTTGGCAACAATACACGTCCTTACCTTATCACCATTGGAGACCGCGTAAGTGACATACTGCCCACTCCCTAACCCAGTTACCCTATTATTGTATGTATAGGGTTCCTGGATTAGGGCTATGTCAACTTCAGATCTCGTGAGGGATAGGAGGAGTTCAGCAGCAGCTGCTTTGCAGTGATGCAGATTAATCTGCATGATATTGAGTAGCTGCTGCTTCCTTCCTCCTAATGCGTTAGCCGGAAGCGGATCCACCCGGCGCCGAAGTGCAATTTTCCCCCACGAGCTTGAAGATACTCCTGGCCATCCTTATCCATGGATACTTTGATGACCAGGCCCCCTCCCTCAGTGGTAGAACTGACAAGACGCCAGCTGTCTGTTTTGAGGTTGGGGTTTTGCTTGCCTAGTATTGTCAGGATGCGTGCCGGATCCACAGATGGTGGTGGCACCCATGCTGTCAATACTCTACGGCAGGGGATGTCCTTTAAGGATACAGCCGCCAGATCGCATCCTTGCCATAGGTCACGGAAGCCAGATACTGCGGTGACTAGGTAATCCTTAGATTCCTGGTTTTCGCAGCACATGACTTTCGCGCCTCTGTAAAGGGTGGCGCTGCCAAACTGCATCCTTCGTGGGTCACCCTCTCCCGTAAAGACAAGCTCCCTCAGTCGATCTTCGAATAGCAGCCATCGACTATCGCTGATTTTACCTTCCGGTTCAGCCCTGTCAATGATTGCTACTCGTAGATTGTCCGGGTAGATCGTCTGGGAGTACTTCCTCTTTCGTCCTGCTTGGCCTGCCGTTTGTGACTTGACCTCTCCTTTGTGGGCCTTATCAGGCTTGGAGCTTGAAGGGCCTGTTGGGGGTGGTTTGGTCACAAGCGACTTGCTGACAGACGAAGTGGAAGTTGTAGGTAAAGGCCGAGAAGCCGGGGCCTTAGATACCTTCTTGGCCTCAGGGTGTGGTTCCTCCGTAGACCGGCCCCTCTTCAACGCCGAGCGCGAAGGGGTGTCGGCCTCCGTTGGAACTGTCGAGGCTGCAGCTATCACAGGTTCCGGCTTCTTGACCTTCCTGTCCCTGCATTTTGGGGTAGATGACCCAGCAGGTCCAGCATTAGGTGTCACCGCGTGGACAACAGCCGGAGTGGCCTTGCTGTCGGTGGTGGACTTGCTGACCTCTGCAGGGTTCTCAACAGTGGGTTGAACTATGGAAGAGTTTGCCCTACTGTTGATGTTAGGTGGTGGGAGAGTTAGGAGTATCTGATTAAGAGAACAACTTGGTAAGTGCGGGTGGTTCTTCTCAAACTTAGCAATTACCTTGAGGTTCATCTTGATCAGAATCCTCTCTCTCTCCGTTATGTGCGCGGGGTCTCGGCCAATAAATTTTTTGCAATAATTTATTGACCTTTTATAACCCCGCCTTGCTTTCGCCTCCTTCGGTTCGACACCATCGTGAGAGGTAGGGTTACTGGTAGATTTCCTGCCAGTACCTACAAGGATGGTATCTTGCCGATCGAGGCTTTTAGCATCGGAGGTTACCGACGATGAACCCTCCTGGATTTGGGACTCCACGCAAGTCTCGTTAGGAGTGTTCTTAGCGGTCTTTTGTGATGACTCACCACTTTGAGACGAGGAAATGACCGTTATGTCAAGTTCCTCATCAGAGAGTGGTGAGTCGTTACTAAAGCCCGAAGGAACACTTTCCTGGCTGAGTCTTAACGTTTTCGTCTTTTCCAGGAGGGCAGACAACTGTTCATTTTGTTGCTGAATACTGTCGTGGATTACGTCACTGTAATTCAGTATTGAGTCGTCCCCTCCCGATTTGGTATTCATGTCCTGTGGCCGGTCCTTGGTCGTTGCTTCCTTGGAAGCAATGGTGTCGTTGGTGGTTGTTGGGGGTTTGTTTTGTTTGTTTATTGTTTTTTTATCTTTCTCCATATGAAAAGTCGGACTTGGAGGAAACGAGGTCCACCATGGCATAGCCTCCCTACCATGGCAAGGACTTGGCAACTAAGCCTGTTACTCACTGAGGCGCCCAGGTATCAGTGAGGCAACCGTACGAATACAGTCGGAACCCTGACTGCAAACCTAGGAACACTGATGGGCACGGTTTACATAACACCCCAGCGTTAGGGGGTCTTATTTATCGGTAGACCAACACCGATCACTGGGTATTTTGAGGCGCCAGTTGTTCGCCTCGTCGTAACCAGGGATCATGGGCACTCGGATATTTGTTCCGAGACTCTCCCCCCGGAGACCGCTGAGTTGTCCGCGACTGCTTATTTATTCGCAGCTGCCCAATATATCTATTGGGCGTCCCACTATCCGCAACCTGTGGACGCGTCCGGTAGCATCCAGCTATGCTTCCGATGATCGGCTTCCGATGATCGGCCGGACCTTTGAAGTAAATATATTAGCCACGTATGTCCGTTAATGTGGATCAAATCATGTGTAATATAAACGCTCATTTAGTGTCTTCGAATAGTTTAAAACTTCTTTTCGAACAGTTTAAAACTTCTTCTTCAAAAACTCCCAACAATGGATAGCACTTAGGTCGGAGAAAAAACGGACTCTTGATCGATGCATACCCGGATAAACTTAAGCGAATATTAAATTTTTACTGAATGCTGTTATATACTGAATGGAGCTCCTGTTATATGGCGACGAGTATACATTTTTGTGATGGGGCGAATCTTTAATTGCCTCAAGCATTAATTTTACAAATTTATCAACTGGGGCAAAAAAAACAGAGCTGTACTATAACATATATAATTAGTTTCAATGGAGCTCCCGCCATGTAGCCATTTTATGCATTTAAATTTTTTAAATAAAGATTCGTTTTTTTTTCGTTTGTGTGCGACCACACAAATTGTTTCAACTTTTTGAATGTAAGAAGAAAATGTTCGCAGGTACAGTCCTTAACCGAGTGAAGTGCATAATGTTGTCTTCATAATGCCAACCATTAACTACACATAAGTTTGGAAATTCCAGATAGTGTAATGCCCCCACAATAAGAGTGAAAAAATCATACATTTTTTGTTGATTTATCAGCAAGGAAATGTATAAAGATTCTGTTTTACATTTATAGGTGAAAATCGCTATAAATTCTAAAAATGCATTATAAATAATCAATTTGCTAGAGAAATAAAATTGGAATAAACCACGATTATAAATGTTCCAATAACTTTTTGTATTGATATCCCTATCAATGCTTATGTAAATGTCATTAACAACACAGGCATACAGTTTCGAAATTGGTGAGTGTCACATTAAAGTGAAAACAAGTAAAACATTTTTTTAATAAATTGGCATAATTCTGTCATATTGAAAGAGTCCGACTAATAAGAAGAAGCAAACTGAAATGCCACTCGTTTCTAAATGTATGTTAAACATAACTTCACATTAAATGACAGTGCCGTCGTCCTATATTAAATATGCATGATTTTTGTAGGTTTGTGTGGTTTTGACAATTTGTGA